TGGCCGGGCCCCCTGCGCCCCCCCCCCGGGCCCCTGCCGTTCCCAGACAATGGAGCGGGAGCAGCGGGGTGGGAGGGAGCGTAGCGCAGCACATGGGCTGCCCCTCCGCCCCGCCGGGTCCTAGTGCCCAACGGTTCCCGAGCGCCCCGCCTGCCTGCAGTCGGGAGGCCACTTCCCAGGAGACTGGACAGGGGACTGGCCTGCTCTGCCAGGAGAACCATGGTGCACTCTGTCCGCTTCTCAGAATCTCCTGACCGAGGAGGAAAAGGCCCCTTCTTCTGCCCGAGGTTCCCCCACTCCCGCACCCACCCCACAAGTAGCTCACCTGTAAAGGCATCTGACACCTGGCTCAGGAGCAAAATTCAGGGACATATGGGAACAAGCTGCAGGGGCAGAAAGGGAGGGGGCCAGGCAGGACCGATGACAACCACCTGGGACTGCCCCACAGCCAACACCTCCCCTCCCAGGAAAAGCTCCACGGTGCGGGCAGCTCCGGTTCCCAGTCCAGCCTGCCACAGGGAGAGGCCAGCGAGTCTAGGAGAGGGCTGGTCAGGGCTCCAGAGGGAAGGCCTGTCACCGGGTCCCTGCCCAGCCTGCCTGCAGGGCATGCTGCAAGAGGGGAGGTTCCAGGCAGGGGGGGATCTGGCTGCACGTGCAAACCGGATCAGTTGTAAAGAGCCATGCTTGGGACCCTCCTGCAGGAACCAGTCATGGGCTGGGTTAAGAACCTTGGAGTAGGGAACTCTGCAGTCTGGTGCAGGATGGGGCAGAGTGGGCAGGCAAGCCTCCTCCTGCCCACCCGGCTGTAGCAAGCATGCTGAGGGACAGGGTGCCTTCCCCTGCCCTCCCACCCCCACACACACATCACACTCTTCCAGCGTGCCAGTCAGTTCCTGGAGGTTCTGCAGTGGGGACGAGCCTTCCTCACTCCTCACACTCCCCAGGGAAGGACACCTGGTCCCTGTCTGCCTTTTCGACTCCCTCCCCTGCACTACAGAAATGAGTTCAGGGGTAGAAAGAGACATCAAAGCGATCCAGACTTGGAGTAAATACATTTTATTCAGAATAAGATAATAAAATAGCGTGCACTTTATTTAAAACCAACCAAGCGCTGATAAAAATATATATATCACTGCAGCTGTGATTCCACGTCAAACCTTAACAGTAAGGACTGGGCATCTATTCTTCACATCATGTGCCAGGCCTGGCAGAGGACATCCGTCCCCTCTAGAGCCTCGAAGGAAGAGGTGGCCCCTCACCGTGTGGAAGGAGCGCCCTGGTGGGAGGGGTCAGTGGGCAGGCTCTCCCTGCGGAGCACCGGAGCACCAGAGGAGCACCAGGAGGGAAAGGAGCTGCCCCCCGCCCCCCGGCTTTCCCCAGGCTGCTGGACACCGAAGAGCAGAGTGACTCCTCTTGGTGGCAGGGAGTGGAGGGACAGGGGTAGAGAACCACTTGCAGTGATGCAGACAAGAAAGTGAGTCCTCCTTCCTCCTTCAGGGTCTCTAAGATCCTCACAGGGGGCCTACTGGCCTCTGTGGGATCCCATCTGGCGGCACAGCCTACGAAGCAGCAGGCTTCTCTTGCTGTGGCTGGAGGGGAATCGAGATTCTGAGAGCAACAGCTCCCTTCTTGCCAGGAAGCAGCCCCAGTGCGCTTCCCTGCATTCGGCATGGCAACGGGCAAGCAGGGGGCCCTGCAGGCTCCGGATTAAGGCACTTGTAACACACTCGAGGTGCATCCCCCCAGTCCCACAGGCCCAGGGGACCATTTCCCCCTCCTTTAAAATCAGGTCCCAAGACCCTGTCTCTTCCCTCTCCTGACAATGAAGAGGACAGGTGCATGCCTGAGGGACTGTGGCTGGTGGGAGTGCAGGGCTGGACGGCAGCTAGGCACAGAAAGGGAGCTGGGGACTCGGCCAAGGAGAAGCTGCAGAAGGGAGGACAGGACAGCAAGTGCGTCAGGAGGAAGCCCGGGAGGCAGCAGGAGGGAGCCCGGAGGCCTCTGGCGGCGAGCAATGGCAGTGATGTTCGCTGAGAGCAGAGGCAGAAGCTGGAGTGGGGGTCCCCTCCCACCTGCCCTAGCTGAGACAGGCTGGGTGCAGAGAAAGGGCTGAGAGCCAAGCCCAGAAGGAGACCCTCGGGAGCCAGGTCTCCCTCTCCCTCAGCTAGGACATACAGGGCAGAGAGCAAGGGTTTAAGATAGGGCCAGTCAAGGGCGAGGGGCTGGAAGAGGGCTGTGCGGCCCAGAAGCAGCTCAGCTCTTTGGCAAGACCAAGGTGGCTGTGAGGCATTCTTCTCACTCTTCCTCCACACTCCGGGGCCCCTTGGCTGCTCGCCTCTGCCGCCAGCGCAGCTCTTCCACCTGGCGCTCTAGCCCTCGCACCTTGGCCTCCAGGTGGGCCCCCGAGGCCCGGGAGCCAGTGAGCCGGCTCAGCAAGGCGTAGAGGGTCAGCAAGGCCAGGAGGAGCAAGGCCCGGGTGGAAGGGTCGGGCACGGACCTCACGAGGGCCACAAAGCCAGCCACGAAGATGATGAGCTTCAGGCCTCCCAGGATCCGCCCCAGCAAGGCCAAGACCAAGCCGAGGAGCAGGGACAGCAGCCAGTAGACAACCAGGGCCCCTGCTCCCCACAGCAGGAGTGTCTGGACCTGGCTAGGGCTGAGCTTCAGGCACTGGGTGAGGTGATCACCTGAAATGGGGAGAGTCACAGAGTCAGCCAAGAAGCGGTGAGGGGAGGACGAGGACGAGGGAAAGAACCCCAAACAGGGGAGGTGCTAATACTCTGCAAAGGGACCATCTATTCTCACAGACCCAGAGAGACACGAGTTTGAATCCCAGCTCTGTTTCTTGCTGACTGTGGGACCTTGGTAGATAATCTCCCTTTGTCAAGCCTCCATGTCATTTATCAAATGACAACGATCTGCCTGCCTCCTTGGGCTGTGGTTAGCAATGAAATGAGATACTACGGCTAGGCCGATGCCTCACGTGAAATAAACACCCGGCGTTTGGTGATGGGACCTGCTCTGTACCACATCTCTGGGCACTCTGGGACAGTGTCAGACAGCTGGGGAAAAGTCTAGAACCTGACAGAGGCAAACTCCCACAAACAGCAGAGTACCGGTGAAGCTCCCGCCCATTCCCAGTCCTCTGCCACGTACCGTCTAGCCCCAAGGCACTCAGCAGCTGTGCGGTGATCCCAGACAGAGCAAAGAAGGCCACAGAGATGGCTGACGAGATGGCCCACATCACCTGCGCCAAGGTCTGCGGAGAGAGCAGGGGTGAGAGGAGGCCACGGTCAACCATCGTCTCCTCTGAGCCTGCTCACCAGCACCCACGCCAGGCGTGCGGCAATGTCTGTGTCTCAGCCCGTGTGGATGGGCTCTGGCAGGCGGCGTGGGGGCCCTTCCACATGCACCTTCCAGCACACAGGGATGCACACGGGCCATTTCCCCTTTCTGAACTGGTAACCAGGACTTCTAGGATGTAATTCAACTGGTTTGCTAAGGTACTTGGGAGGAAGCAGCAGGTATACCAAAGTGGATAGGGTGCATTACCAAATGCCTTTAATAGTCACCTGCAAAAACATTGGTAAAGCGCTAGCATGTTTCAGGGGACCAGCAGATGGCATAATGGTTACGTCACTGAACTCCCACATGGTCAACCATGGTTCAAGTCCCAGACCCGATGGCTTCCAACTCACGCTGGGTGCCATGTGTGTGCATGCCCAGGATCCCGAGAGGAGAATGGAGGAGAAGGGACTGTGGCATGGCCATTCCCCCTGGTAGGGGTCGGGAGAAGACTTTTCACTTTCTGTCTCTCTGTCTCTCTCTGGCTCTCTGGCGAGAACACACTCCCTATGGCAAAATCTCTCTCTAAAAATAAAAAAGAGCTAGTATGTTTCAAAAAACAAGGTGTCTACCGCTTACACTGTAGTATGGATTTTATAAATTATTGTCTCTGCCCTTCAGCACAGCTTATCAAAAGTATGTAACCCCAGGGCCAGCAGGTGGTGTGGTGGTTAAGGTGCTGGACTCCCACATGGTCAATCACGAATCGAGTCCTGGACCTAGAGGTTTGCTTTCTCACTTCCCTGCTCTCTTCTCTCTTTAGTGAGTATATCTGCCCTACAGTAAATTTAAAATAATAATAATCACAATTTAAAAAATTAAATAAATCTAAAATACTAAACTCATACTAAAAAAATAAGTACATGGTCCCATGCTTAGGGTGCCATTAGGTAGACGCATGATCCAGCTGTTAGCCCCTGATCAACCTGCCCCCACCTCTATAGGTGAAGGAATGGATTCTGGTTTGATATTTTGCCAGTTCAAGACTCTAGGTTGGATTTAGACCGAAGTTTGACTCTACAGTTGCCCAGTGGCATAGGTTTACAATCATGGCTCATTTCCCAGCATTTCTGGCAAAAAAAGAGCAAGAGCCAGGAAAGATGGGAGTGGAAGTAAAAGGCCCTAGGCTAGGAATCAAACACTCAGGAAGCAACAGGCATCTGGTTTCTTTCTGTGGAATCTGAGGCTCTCTGCACATAGGATGCAGAGCCGCAGAGCCAAGACCACGCAGCCATGCACAACGTCTGTTCTCAGTCTTTCTTTACTGTGCACAGCCACAGCAGGGATGCCTTCCTTACCTCTGAAACCAAGTGTGTGATCTCTGGCCCAACCCAGGTATCCAGTGTCTCCCGTACAGATCGACCTATCTGGGTCAACAGATCTACCGGAGCCTCCCTCTTCTGCTGCCCTGGTGCTGCAAAGTCTCGATGGGACTGGGCTGATGCTGAGTGGAGGAGAACGAGGCCTACTAGGATCACCAGGATGGCTTTGAACAGATGTTTGCTCCATGAGGGACTGCTGCCTGGGCCTGCCATGCTGGGTCTGCAAGAGAGAAGCACGTGGTGAGCTCAGGGCCAGAACTGGTAGACGTACCCTCTCTCCCAGCTCCGACTGGCCCCTCACACCTCCTCCCCCCCAACCCTCCAGTAAGCATCCAAG